TAAAAATGCTGCGTTTTGGGAACTTGGTCCTGCTCTGCACAGGGCCGATGCTCTCCTGCTCACCGCTTACCCTCATGCTCTAGGCTGGACCCCTCAGTGCAGATGTGAGTCTGCAGGGAGACAAGCCCGGAGCTCCCGGAATGGGTTAGGAGTCCTGTCTCATGTGTTTAGAGAGCACCTCACTTTACACACGTAAGTTACCTACACCGCTTGTGACTACTCACTAAAGGGCACGGGCTCTGTTAGATTCTAAGGGGTCAGCTCATGCTTTCTGTAAAGGGCCAGATGTGAGTATTCTAGGGTCTGCCAGGTGTCAGGGTGCCTCACACCTGCTCAGCCCACCTGAACCTGGGAGGCAGCTGCAGCAACATGGTGACCAGTGAGTGGGCCACATTCTAATAAAACTTTATTCACAAAACAGGCCCTTGGCCGGCCCTTGCTGGCCAGCCTCTGGACTGAAAGCTCCATTCTCTGGTGTTAATTTCCCTGCATTTGGGCACCAGAACAGCATGTGATGTTTCCTACATACTTCCCGAATAAACGAGCTGTTATTATTGATGATTAAATATAACTTAAGCAAGAACACATTCCCCAAGCTGTGAACCCCACAGACGGCAGTCAGGGGTCTATAGGACTTTTCTCTCAGACACTCTTCACCCTTTCTGTCTTCTCCATCTCATCAGATGCCCCCACAGTTCACCCTCTCTCCTCTCCAGCTCATCAGACACCCCACGGTTCACCCTCTCTCCTCTCCATCCCATCAGACGCCCCCATAGTTCACCCCTCTCTCCTCTCCATCCCAGAAGGTGCCCCCACAGATCACCCTCTCTCCTCTCCATCCCATCAGACACCCCACAGTTCACCCCTTTCCTCTCCATCCCATCAGACACCCCACAGTTCACCCTCTCTCCTCTCCAACCCATCAGATGCTGAAGAGTTCACCCTTTCTCCTCTCCATCTCGTCAGACACCCCCACAGTTCACCCTTTCTCCTCTCCATCCCAGCAGACACCCCACAGTTCACCCTCTCTCCTCTCCATCCCAGCAGACACCCCACAGTTCACCCTCTCTCCTCTCCATCCCAGCAGACACCCCACAGTTCATCCTCTCTCCTCTCCATCTCATCAGACGCCCCACAGTTAACCCTCTCTCCTCTCCATCCCAGCAGACGCCTCCACAACCAGCCTCTTGGGCATTATAGCATCTGCACCCGTACTGTGGTGAACATGTGAAATCCAACTGAGCCTTCTCCAAGCTTAGGTGGGAATAGTCAATTCAGAAATCAATTCTAAAACTAAGATAAATGAGGAATTGGATTAGGAGAACATGTTTGGATATGAATATTCACCTGCTACACATTAAAAATGCAGATATTTAAATGTGCCCAGATGGAAATGACCCCAGGAGTGAACATTACAAAAGGGCTGTGCGTAATGGAGCAGGATGCAGAGACGACATCACAGTGCTAGCCACAGTCATGGGTGGTGCTAGGAGTTCACGTGGGTGAAACCCAAGTTGTTCCCAGCACAGTTAACACGACTCTGGAGGCCAGCAGAATGAAGACAGCACATGGATGTGTATGTGCCTCCCCGGTCTTGTCTTTCCTGTTTCATCTGAGGTCCCTGTGATGTGCTTCTGACATCTCCACTGTTAAAATCCTTCAAGGGAATTTTGTCCACATTCACTACAATTTAGTGTGCCCTTGTTTCCTGGAAACACAGGGTTACAGAGTGGCAACTATGGGAATTCTCCCAGTCCTGGCCGTTTTCTTCCTTTTTCTCCTCTCCCCATAGTATCTACTCTGGCCTCAGCCACTGCCCTCCACAGAGCAGTGCCACGGGGTGAAGGTCACAGGGCTTGGGGCTGAGCTACTTTCAGCTGAGAGCCTTGGTGGCTTGTGCAGCCTCCAGCACCTCACCTCCCTGAGCCATGTTTCTGTCCATAAAACAGGCATCATCAGAGCTTCCCTGAGTTCCGTAGCTGAGCTTCGGCAATGTCATTTAAAATGGGTAAATGAATTACACTGGAATCCATAAAACGTAAACGAATATAAGATAAACTAAGGTGCTAACAGGCAATAGCAAAAATGTGTTGATACCCCCTGGTAATATAATTTTTTTTTTTTTTGCAGAAATTTTCATTACATTAACCCCAAAGAGTGACCCATGGGAGTTTCGGGGACTTTCAGGTTAGTTCCTGGCAGGCAGGGCGTGTCCAGGCCCATCACAGGGCTGCTGTCTGCGTTTTGTCATCTACACCCCGGTGTCAGATTTCAGGAAAAAGAATGATTGCGGCACACGTAAATCAAGTTTGGCAGAATGCCTGACATTTGTTGGACTGATCAATGAAGCAATAAATCCTGGATAAATGGAAGAATGGACCCAACTGTTGCACCATCTCTGCCGAGTGGACGGCGGCACGGGGGCCGCGGGCAGAGACGGACCTGTGTCTGCCGAGTGGAGGGCGGCACGGGGGCCGCGGGCAGAGACGGACCTGTGTCTGCCGAGTGGAGGGCGGCATAGGGGCCGCGGGCAGAGACAGATTTGTGTTTAGAGCAGGAGTAACTTAGGCAGCACGTCTCGCCCGTTTCCCCCACATCTGATCAGATTTGAGGCTGTGGAATGCTTTCTGGTCAGGTGTTAAGGGTTGTTGGTGGGTGAACTCCCAGAGGGTTTTGCACTTGGGTCTGGCCAGTGTTTAGGTGATGCTGTCAGGGGGCCTCGGGCTCACATCCCTTCGAAAATCCCTGGCTTTTCAAAGAGTTTCAACTACATTGGGTGATGGTGTGAGTTTTGCAAATGTAAAGTTCCGAGAGTGTCCTCTGAACATCGTTAGCACTGGAGCCTCGTACAGGACTCTGGGGCAGTCCCTGATGTGAAGAAAGGAAGGAGACACCGTCTCTGCCACTGAAGAATGAGGTGATAATGACCCTGCGGGACCCGCAGCAGTGATGGTGAATGAGTGGGAGAAGGAACCCATTAACATGAAAATGCCTTTCATAATTCTTAAAATTACGAAATAATTCTTACAATTCTTAGTCCCTGCCCATGGTCTAAAAAAGTCTTTTTTTTTTTCTTTTTTTCATGCTTTGCTTTCAAATGTATAGAATCATGAAGTGAATCACAAACGTTTAAAGTGTGAAGTTATCAATGGCTGTTTAGCTGGGGGTCCAAAACCCCAGGACTGAGGCTGGCGTGGCAGCCCTGGACCCACGAAGCATAGCTTCTGCATGTGTGTGCTTTTCCCCTGGAAGAGGTCTCAGATAATTCATAATTCCCCTAATGTCTTTAAGTGCCCCAAATAAAAGGTGGGTGAGAGCCGACATCCAGTCCAATCCTTCACTTTCCTGTTGGAGCAGATGGGTCAGACGACTTGGCTCTGCTCCCAGCTCCGTCCTGCTCCCCAGCCCCTTCCTGGTAACCATGTTTCCTGGTTGTTTCCTGGCTTACAAACACCTCCTCCCCATTTCCTTCCAACAGGTCTAAGAGCTTCTCCAGGGTAAGACTTAGGCTTTGTTCTCAGCCACTCGTCCCACAAGCTGGCACCAACCACCCTCTGTGGAAGAAGAGGAGATGGATGGGCCTGGGCTGGGCAGACATAGGGCCTGGTCTCAGGGCATGTCTTGTCTGCCATTCCAACACCGTAGCGCTTGAATTTAGTTGAACTAGGCAATAATGATAGAGTTCGGATTTGTTAAGTTCTAATTCGTAAGATTTGGTTGCAATTTAAAAGTTCACTTTTTCATCTTGTAAGTCAACAGTAATGAACAACTGGAAACATTGGAAGAGGTCACATGGTCACTGGTTCATTGCTGGGTGCACCTGGCATGGAGAGAGACGATACAGGGAGGGCCCTGCGGCCCGGGGCTCCGTGTCTGACGTGTGGGTATGATTAATATCTCTTATGTGGCACTGGCCAAGGCTGAGAAGCAGCTCCACCCTGGCTGTCCACTTGCCCAGGACCGCACAGCCGGCCGCGGGAGGTGGGGCGGCGGGGGGGGGCTTCCAGGCAGTTCTTGGCATTACCACCCAGACTAACCTGTGGGACTAGCCGGCCGCGGAGGCAGGGGGTCCTTCCAGGCAGTTCTTGGCATTATCACCCAGACTAACCTGTGGGACTAGCCGGCCGCGGAGGCAGGGGGGGCTTCCAGGCAGTTCTTGGCATTATCACCCAGACTAACCTGTGGGACTAGCCGGGCGCGGAGGCAGGGGGCTTCCAGGCAGTTCTTGTATTATCACCCAGACTAACCTGTGGGACTTAAGATTCACACAAAGGCTGGCTGTTGAGTAACAGTCATATTTTCATCTTCCAGGCAGTTCTTGGCATTATCACCCAGACTAACCTGTGGGACTTAAGATTCACAGCGGCTGGCTGTTGAGAGTAACAGTCATATTTTCATGGTTCGTAGGAACTGCTGATTTCCCAAAGAGTTTTATCTGTCTATATTTTCAAAATTAAATTTATTAATAATAAATTTTGGGCAAGTATGTAAAGTGTAGGGTTTTATCTTTATAAAGCTAGTCCACTTCCTCCCTCCTCTACCAAAAATGTGCTGCCTAGAAATGCACTTATAAAGTTATAGTCAACAACAAAATTCCCTGTTAACGATTTTTACTCACAAAGACATTCAAACACACACCCGTATGTACACATTCATACAAACAGAGACGAGTGCTTGTCCTGAGGATAATTTGAATGATCAGAAAGATACAACAGATCACATTGGCTTTAAAATTTGAAATGGAAGTTGCCCAAGCATACTTCCTTAATTACTATGTGATGAATAAATAGCCAAAGCTCTGGTTGTTCTAAACCAAACCAAACCAAACCAAACCAACCAAACAAAAAAACTTGAAAATTGATGGCCATGGTGTCTACTATTTCCGGCTTGGGAATTTGGTTTAAATGGATGGCACTCAGCTCACGGTGAAGGGGTTTTGCAGAGGGAGCCCGCGGACAGTGGGAAGTGCTTGGAGTGGGAAGACAGCTGGCCTCACTTACGTCTGGTGCTCTCCAAGCGGTCTCTGTCCAATGGATTTCAGCAGCGGCTCCGGTCGGATCGCCGACTTTGGTGATGTCTTGGGGCTGGAGTCTGACTCTCCACTCTCCTCGTCCCCCATGGCTTTAATGTAACTCCCGCTTCTCATTCTCCTGCAGGGAATCTCTTCATCTTTGCCACCGGTGGGGTACCCTCCCCACTCGTCCTGAGGCACCTAGGAGCAGACAGACACGAAACATGCGTCAACTTTATCACTGAGAACGGTGGCATCAGCTCCTTTTTGGAAACAAATCCTCTACAATTCCATCAAAATATAGCTCTTTACAGTAATTTATTGGTTAAAGTCAGATGCATAAAAATGCATACCCTAAAATGATATGAATAAAAACATTGGTTTTTCTTCATTATAAGTGATAGGTAAACATATGGATAAAGTGAGAACATGTGAGAAAAGTAAGAGAAGAAGGAAACTTGCAATCTCAGCAGCTGGGAGAAAGCACTGGCTAAAATTTAGTTTATTTCCCTCTGGTATAAGAGGAAACTGAAATTTGAGAAACTGAACAAAGAAAAAAAGGAAGAAAAAAAGGAAAAAAGGGAGAAAATGCCTATCTTATTGTCCATTTATATTTTATTTGCAAGCAAATAAAGGAGGACAGTTTTAACTCCAGAAGCCAAGTTCTATCACACATGCAAATTCTCAGCACTCAGAGTTGCAAAAGGATCTTGTCCAGCCACATCATATGCTAGCTGATATACAACTAAGCACCTGTGCATGGAATATGTCTGCCTGTTACAGAACTCAGCACCCGTTCATGTTGTATACCTGTGTGGTACAGAGCTGAGCGCTCGTGCATGTTAGATACCTGCCTGGTGCAGACCTTAGCAACCATGAATGTTATATCTCTTTGTGGTGCAGAACTCAGCACCTGCCTGTGCGTGTTATATATCTGTGGGGTACAGAGCTGAGCGCCCGTGCATGTTAGATACCTGCCTGGTGCAGACCTTAGCAACCATGAATGTTATATCTCTTTGTGGTGCAGAACTCAGCACCTGCCTATGCATGTTATATATCTGTGGGGTACAGAGCTGAGCACCTGTGCATGTTATACGTCTGCCTGGTACAGAGCTGAGCACCCATGGAGGTTATATATCTGCCTGGTGCAGAACTCAGCACCCGTTCATGTTATCTATCTGTGTGGTACACAGTTGAGCTAATTATATGCCCGCCTGGTGCAGACTTGAGCAACCACAAATGTTGTATATCTGTGCGGTATAGAACTCAGCACCCGTTCATGTTCTATATCTGCCTGGCACAGAGGTGAGCACCTATGCCATTATATATCTGCCTGGCACAGAGGTGAGCACCTATGCCATTATATATCTGCCTGGCACAGAGGTGAGCACCTATGCCATTATATGTCTGCCTGGCACAGAACTGGGCCCATGTACATGCTATATACCTGCCTTGCACAGAGCTGAGAGCCCACACATATAATATGTCCACCTGGTTCAGAGCTGGGCATGTGCACATGTTACATGCCTGCCTGGCACACCATCGGGCACCGGCACTATATGCTCTGCCTTGTTCAGAGCTGGATGGGTGTGCATATTTTATCCTGCCAGGCCTGGGGTTGAGCAGCCCCCTGTGCTGTGTATCTGACTGGCCCAGAACCGAACCCGTGTGCATTTTATATCTCACCCACAACAGCCCCACAGGCTGCCTGCTGTGTGTTTGTGTTAAGTGTCTCTCTGAGGGGAGGGTAAGCCATGAAGACGACAACGCGGGCCAATATTCTGTTTCCATCCACCATCTGTGAAACTGGAAACCCAACGCGGCAATAAGCAAAACGTCACGGAACTGGAGCACAGTGGTTTGTGCCACGGGAGCTGCTCCGTGCAGCTCAGGACATGGTTTCTTTTCCCCATGGTTCATTAGCTTTGAACAGCTCCCCAGAGGCTCTGGATAAAGTTCACTCCATAGGTCAAATTCACATTACAAAAGCAAAAGAACACAGCATGCAATCGCTGAGTGTAGAGAACTCCAAAGCTTTCCATAGCAACCGGATCATCACCCACCGTCGGTAGTCAGGGAACTAACGTAGTGTGTTCTTCATGCTGGAGAAGAGAATCTCCCCAAATGCTGTTTACAGAGAAAGAAAATAAAAAATTTCCATATTTAAAAAGTCTTCAGACAGGGTATTTTTTTTTCCCCTGCTGTAAAATATTTAGATACTGAGGTATATTCTTTATATCATCGTAAAAGGAACCTGCTATCTTTCCAGTGTCCATATTGCCTGTGAGTCGATCAATAGCATGACCAGCAGGAATCTGCGTGGCTGGTGGTAAAGGCAGGTCTTTTGGCTGAAGGCCCCTTTATTCATTCCTAAATGCCGTGCCACACCAGCGCTCTGGCAGATCTGACATCTTCCACATTGCAGCCCAGGACAGGAGCCAAGGCAGAGGGAAAGCCATGCTCATTTCTGTCACTCACATATTCTGGACTTCAGCCTGGACGAGCAGGAGCTCCCCTTACCATGGACCCCGTGTGGCAAGGGATCCTGAACACCACACAGTCCCGCAGTAACAAGGCACAGACACCCGAACACCACACAGTCCTGCAGCAACAAGGCGCAGACACCCGAACACCACACAGTCCTGCAGCAACAAGGAACAAGGCACAGACACCTCGAACACTCACACAGTCCTGCAGCAACAAGGCGCAGACACCCGCCCGAACACCACACAGTCCTGGTGAGCAATGCGCAGACACCCAAACAACACAGTCCTGCAGCAACAAGGGGTGCAGACACCCAAACACCAGTCCTGCAGTAACAAGGTGCACAGACACCCGAACACCACACAGTCCTGCGCCTGGGCAGACACCCGAACAACACACAGTCCTGCGGTAACAAGGCTATGATACCCAAACAACACATACAGTCCCACAGTATGTGCACGCAGACACCCGAACACCACACAGTCCTGCAGCAACAAGGTGCAGACACCCGAACAACACAGTCCTGCAGCAACAAGGCACAGACACCCGAACAACACACAGTCCTGCAGCAACAAGGCACAGACACCCAAACAACACACAGTCCTGCAGCAACAAGGCACAGACACCCGAACAACACACAGTCCTGCGGTAACAAGGGGCAGACACCCGAACAACACAGTCCCGCTGCAACAAGGCGCAGACACCCAAACAACACAGTCCCGCTGCAACAAGGCGCAGACACCCAAACAACACAGTCCTGCTGCAACAAGGCGCAGACACCCAAACAACACAGTCCCGCAGTAACAAGGCGCAGACACCCGAACAACACAGTCCCGCAGTAACAAGGGGCAGACACCCGAACAACACACAGTCCTGCAGCAACAAGGCACAGACACCCAAACAACACACAGTCCTGCAGCAACAAGGCACAGACACCCGAACAACACACAGTCCTGTGGTAACAAGGCGCAGACACCCAAACAACACACAGTCCTGCGGTAACAAGGGGCAGACACCCGAACAACACATGGTCCCGCAGTAACAAGAGGCAGAAACCTGAACACCACAGTCCTGCGGTAACAAGGGGCAGACACCCAAACAACACACAGTCCCTCAGTAACAAGGGGCAGAAACCTGAACACCACAGTCCCTCAAGCCCCTGTGGGTTACAGTGCAGGCAGATGACAGCTGTAGCACCCCCAAGGTGGCCCAGACATACGGCAGCTCAGTGACACCCCAGCACCATGCACACTGGAAGATCCAGATGCTGTGATGAGGAGAGGGTTGGACAGGATGGAAAGTTCCAGATTCTCCTTCCACCCAGACTCCAAGAGGCCAAAAGGCTCAGAAGAAGGATCCTGGCCTGTGACTGTGAGCTGGACAGGCAGTGTCTGCGGTCCTCTCCAGCTGGGTTCTTCTAAAGCCTTTATGACCCGGTGCCTTGTGCCCAGGTCTGCATGGTTCAAAGAGGAATACAGACCACGCTGAAAGGAACTGGAGGTATTGTATGCGTCTGTTCTCACACTGCTAATAAAGGCATACCCGAGACTGGGCAATTTATAAAGGAAAGAGGTTTAATGGACTCACAGTTCCACATGGCTGGGGAGACCTCACAATCATGGCAGAAGGTGAATGAGGAGCAAAGTCATGTCTTACATGGCGGCAGGCGAAAGAGTGCGTGCAGGGGAACTCCCCCTTATAAAACCATCAGATCTTAGGAGACTTAGTCACTATCATGAAAACAGCAAGGAAAGATGCACCCCCACGATGCAATCACCTCCCACCAGGTGCCTCTCACGACACACGACGATTATGGGAGCTGCAATTCAAAACCAGATTTCGGCGGGGACACAAACCATATCAGGTATTAATGACCTGGTCAAGGTAAAACTCCCACAGATGACACCGCAGAGCTGCAGAGCTGTAGGTTGGGTAAGAGAGAGGCCTGGGGCCTCAGCCACAGCAGGTTCTCCCAGCAAGAAATCAGCAATTAAGAAAATAGGCATACATTTGCCCATGTTTTGTTCAAACACATTGTTCAAAAATTTTGTCCATGTGAATTTTGGTTTCACATTTCCTGACAGTGAGGAAGTTGGAGCACTGAAAACAAGTGACTAAGGAAGAATAAAACATTCACAACTTTGGGGATTTGACAATTCTTATCTACGTGTCTTCAGCCACGTGGTGGGTGGTGAAGCTCCCAGTCTTTCTGGAGATGACTGGAGGCCTTCGGACTGGTCATGTCCTTAGACTGGGTAACTTTCTTTCCATGAAGTTTCCTCAAGACAGTGCGACCCAGGGCCAGGGACTGTGGAATTGCTAATCGGGGAGAAAGGAGAAACAACAATACTGTATCATAGGAGATGACTTATAATATTTATTACAACCACAGGATGGATACTACCCAGCTATCAAAAATAATATTGCAGAATGTGTATTTAGTGATGAAAAGATGCTCAGGAGGGGGAAAAGCAATTTTTAAAGTACAGTCTCCACTTGACGTTTTTATGCCTTTTAAAGACGTAACTGTGTTATGTGCAGAAACGGCCAGAAGATGTGAAACAAGGGCCGTCACTAGGAGATGAGGGTTACGGGCTTTTCAATGACTTTTCCTTATATTTTCTAAATGGTATACATGAACCCTTATGACTTTTGTAATCAACACCCTTATTTTTAATTTAAGAAAAGTCACAGTCCTCAATGACGTTACAATTCGG